TACCAGAGATCAAACTCGGGACCTTGTGCTTGTGAGGCAGGCAGCGAAACCATTGAGCTAAATCCCCAGCCCTAGCTTTTTATTTTTAAAGTCATACAGTATTCAGTAACAAGTCTAAAAAACAAGTTATTTGATAATACAGCCTATTGCCTGGCAAAGGAATAGTCCTATAGTTGATGTCAGCTTCCTGTCACTACAAAATATCTGTGATAATTAACTTATAGTGAGATAAGGCTTATTTTGGCTCATAGTTTTAGAAGTCCCAGTTCATGATCAACAGGCCCATCTTATTTTGGACTTGTGGCATCATGGTGAGAGGGTGTGGCAGAGCAAAATCTTTCACATCAAGAGCCAGAGAGCAAAGAGAAAGAGATGGGAGTCCCACAATCCCTTTCAAGGGTACATCCCCAATAACCTACAGACCTCCCACAGGGTCCCACCACTTCTCAAAAGTGCCACCCTGGGGACCAAGCCTGGGGACCAACACATGGGTCTTTAGGGACTTCAAGATTTAAACTATAGCAGTTGGTGAGAACCAAATAACTAGCCAGTATATAAAATTTGAATAAGTGAAATTCTAGTGTAAGATGCAGTACAAAAGAGTTAAAGTTTCTATTCTTAGAATAACAACTTACTTATCAATGAAAACATATTATATGTTGCTCAAGAGGTTTTTTTTGTAATAAGCTTAAAAAACAACAGTTTCTTTATTCAAGCTATTGAGTCAACAGAATCCATAAATAAATGCCATGCTATAGCATGAGATTTGTGAATCATCAAGAAAACTTCAGATTTCCCAAACCAACAAACAAAGAGCCAAGATAAATTTAACCTTTCTGCATATCTATAGTCAAAAGCCCTGTCTTGACATTTGTCTTGATGATTCCCATCAACAGTTGGCTCCGTAAGAATGTTTACTCTTCTTGTAAAAAAAAAGCAAAACAAAACAAAAAATCCAAAAAAGCCAGGAAACAAGAAAAACACACTGTTTTTTTCACAAAGATGTGTTGGTGTCAGAAACTCTTAGAGATGAAAAAAATAATGCTGCACTGTGGTTAACTGTGGTTAACTTTATTAAATAAAGCCTGGCTTACTTGAAAGTGTTTAAAACACTACATGATATGGTCAGTAATTCCACTGCTGGGTAAATGCCCCTAAAGAATTTAAAGTATGGACACAAACAGATATATGTACACCAGATTCAGAGCAGCATCAGTCACAATAGTCAAAGGTGGAAACAACACAAATGTCCTTTGATGGGTGGGCAAATGCATATAGTGGAATATTATTTAGCTGTTTAAAAGGATATTTTTGTCAGCATCAGATTTATTTATTTTCTAAGTATTTATCATAAACACAGATTAACAGCCAGACTAACAGGCCAAAAACATATAAACACATAAAACAATGATACTAAATCAAGGTACACTCTTAGATACTTTGGGCATCTTGGACTACAATAACGCTTCTGTTTCTCTCTTTTTTTTAAAGAATATTTTGACACATGATACATCAATGAACCCTGAAGATATTATGCTAAATGGATAAGCCAGACACAAAAGAAGAAATATTGTATGACTCTATTTAAATGAAGTATCTGGAATAAGCACTTTCATAGAGATAGAAAGTTGAGTACAGTGCCGCTGCCTGCCTTGAAAGCACAAGGTCCTGAGTTCAATCCCCAGTACCAAAAAAAAAAGAAAGAAAGAAAGTTGAGTACATAGCAGTGGTACTATGGGCTGGGAGAAAAGGAAAATGAGGAATTACTGTCAAATGAGTACAGAAACTCAGTTTGAGATAATTAAAAAGTTCTAGAAGTGGATAATGGTGATGGATACACAGCACTATGCATGCATTTAACAACACATTAATGCATGTGACTGTATTTTTATTTATTTATTTATTTTTGATACTGGGGATTAAACTCAAGACCTCAAGCTTGCAAGGCAGGTGCTGTGCCACTGAGCTAAATCCCCAGCCAATGACTGTATTTTTAAATGGTTAAAACTATATATATATGGGGCTGGGGATTTAGCTCAGTGGTTTCACCACCTGCTGCACAAGTGCAAGGACCCGAGTTCGATCCCCGGTACCAAAAAAACCCACCAAACTATATATATATTAGCACTAGTGGGGATTAAACATAGGGCCTCACACTTTCCATCTCACCCTTTTTAGAGTTTTTATTTAGAGCCAGGATTGTGCTAAACTGTCCAGCTTGGCCTTGAACTTTCAATCCTTTTGCCTCAGCCTCCTGGGTATCTGGGATTACAGAAATGTGCCACCACACTCAGGTAAAATGATAATTTTTATTTTATCTATATTATATCATAATCCATTTCTTTTTAATATAAACAAACTGAATTAAAACATAGAGGGCACAGAAATTTCCTACCACACACGAAAATCTTATGTCTAAGTGTTACTGTGTAATGGCAGGTACGGTCTAGGCTTTTGTGTATGACAAGCAAAAAATTGCCAAGTGTACAACCAATAGCAAGCAGCTACATTTATTGATGATCACAGGAAGTTGTGCTCAGGGCAAGTCTATGCCTACAAAAGATATGGCACGACAGAAAAGTGGTGCTGGGGTGATAGAAAAGCAAAATTACTGCACATGGGTCATAGTACACAGAAGCAGCAATAGCAACAGCCCTGATAAATCAAGCTTTTGGAATTTAAAGGAGATGCATGTCAGCCCAAGTGCCTCCTCACAAGTCTCTAGGTATGATTTACAGGAATGGTTGACAGGACGCTGTGCCAACTCAGGAGCTCTCAACACCCATGTTTGTCCCAGAATTCACTCTGATCTTAACGACATGCATGACATGTAGTACATATTTATGAACCCTTAATGAGGTAGGAGTAGGGTGAAGATGACTAAAGGTCAGGGGAAGATACACATGTGTTCTTGCCTAGAGTATCAAAGATCTTCTGAGTTTTTGTTATTTTATTTTCTACCTCTCTTAGGACAATGGAAGTATAGGGAAAGGCAGCTTCTAGGCAGGGAAAAGATAGGATATATTAAAAATTAATGGGGAGCTGATTATACCCTTGTAATCCCAGCATTTGGGAGGCTGAGGCAGAAGGATAGCTGGGAGCTCAAGGCCAGCCTGGGCTGCAAAGTAAGTTCAAGGCCAGCCTGGGCTACATAGCAAGACACTGTGTCAAAAACAAACAAACAAACAAAAGGGGGAATCTTACTAAAAATAGCTTCTGCCTCTAGAGCAGATTAGATTAGAATGGAGCAATTAGAC